TTTCTTTCCAATGACATACTGACAGCTGTAAAAATCAAAACAACTTTTCAGTTTCATATAGATCTTTGTCACACACATAATTACACTCTAAAAGAAAACTTTTTATAAAATACAATGCCCTCATTTGAATTCTGATAACAGTTTAACAAAGCTAATGGGGAAATTTCATGAATTTTGAATATTTGACCTTTAAGGTCAAGGGTCACTAAGGGATCAATGTCATATTTCAAAATGTTAAAACTAGAACTGCCACTGTCATGGCGCGAATACCCCCGCATACCACATTGTCAGAATCAACAATTAGGGCTCAAGGACAACATCCCTGCCAAATCTGAGGTAACAAAACCAGTGCAATGCTTAGTTATGTATTCTCAATGCTTCAAATGTGAAAATGTCAAAATCAATACACTGCGGACAGGTATTCTTAAGCATTTGAGCAGACAAGCTTATTATTGTAAAAATCCCTGTGACCTTGACCTTTGACACATTCAACTTTTAATCAATAGGGATCATCTACTAGTTATAAACAACCTCAATACCAAATATGAAGACTGTTGACCAAAGCATTCTTAATCAATTGGGCAGAAAAGCTTTTTTAGTCAAGGCCCCTGTGACCTTGACCTTTGACCCGGTGACTTCAAAATCAAAAGGGGTCATCTAATAATCATGACTAACCTCCATGCCAAATATGAAGGCTGTAAGTGAAAGGAATCTCAAGTTATTGGGGGGGACAAGCTGTTTTTAGTCAAGGCCTCAGTGACCTTTGACACAGTAACCTCAAAATCAATAGGGGTCATCTACTAATCATGACTAAACTCCATGCCAAATATGAAGACCATGGGTCAATGGAATCTCAAGTAATTGGGCCGGCAAGCTTTCTTTAGTCAAGGCCCCTGTGACCTTGACCTTTGACCTCAAAATCAATAAAGGTCAGCTACTTATCATGACTAAACTCCATGCCAATTATGAAGACCTTGGGTCATAGGAATCTAAAGTAATTGGGTGGACAAGATTTTTTTAGTCAAGGCTTCTGTGACCGTGACCTTTAACCCAGTGACCTCAAAATCTACTTATCATGGCTAACCTCCATGCAAAATATGGAGACCGTGGGTGAAAGAATTCTCAAGTTATTGGGCATAACCGTGGGTCAAAAAGGAAAATTTAAAATGGGTTGACCCAAACTGATTCCCTATACCAACCCCCTTAAAAACTTTGTTGTGGGGGCCCCCCAAAAACCCCGGAGTTTTTTGTAATTTTTAAAAGTTATAAAAAGGGTAAAATGGGGCTATATTTTTTATAAAATTGGGGTAAAAAAAAAAGTTTAAAATAATTTAATTTTTTTTTTGGAAAAAAAAGGGTTTTTTTTCTATTAAAATTTCAATTTGATAAAATATGAGCCGGCCCCACCAAAAACCAAAAATAATGGGTTTGGGGGACCCATGGACCCCGACCAGCCTGCGCATTTCCCCGCAGTTTTATCCCCCAAACCAGGGTTTTTCCCTTCCAAACCCTATAAACAAGTAGAGAAACTGATAAACCAACAGTATTTATCCCAAACTGGTTTCAAAAAGCCCCTATGTTGGTATTGTTGTGATTTAACCATACATAATTGAGCAAGGGGAGAAAGATATTATTAAAAATTTTAAAAAGGGCTAAAAGAAAACAAGGGCCCAAAGTTTTAAAAATAATATTTAAATGTTAAAAAATGTTAGGCCGGGACCACCCCTATAGACATTAAAATACCCCCCCCCCCACCCCCCCCCCCCCCCCAATTCCCCCCAAAAAATTTAATTTAGAAAAATCATATATGGTTTTAAAAAATTTTAAAAAGGGTTAACTGTCAACCGGGGCCTTAATTTTTTTAAGTAGTTTCCCCCAGAAATTGTCACTAAAGTTATTTTTATCTGACTTTTATATTCGATTTTTTCTTTACAAATTTTGGGTTTTAAAGAAAATTTTTTCTAAGTTTTAAACCAAAAGAAAAAGTAAAAATCTAGGAAACAAAAATACATGAAGTTTTAAAAAATTCTTGAAAAAAAAGTTTGATAAAAGTTATGTTTTTTAATTATTTAATAAATGGCATGCAAAAGTGTAAAAATATTTTTTGTAAGCCTCTTTTCTCAAAATCTAAAATAACCTTATCCTGTTCCAACATTGTTTCAACCTTATATTTGTACACTTGCATTGAAAAAAAACAACAAGAAAACTCAATACTAACAGAAATTCATATTATCTGCATGAACTCAGACTTAATATATCAAATCACTATTGTACTAAAAGTAACAAAACCTTGGTGGTGTAACAAAATAAAGAAGTAGATTTACGTTATTGAGTACAATACTAATTTTATTAGACTCACACCCAGCTGTAAATCTATAATGAACTCAGCTAGCATCAGTTGTGTAATCCTCCAATAGAAGTAGGTATTGTACTCAACAATGTATAATAACCTTATAATATACAATACACTGACGCTGTTTCTATATCTGATTGAAATACAAAACATCTTAGAAAATATCTAGCATTTGTAACATGAGAAAGAAAATCACTCTCAAACAAGATATACACGTACATGTACTTTCAACACAAATTCTCTACATATAAATTTTCAATATTCAATCCAAGCTAATAAAATGTCTTCTTTATTTCATACTACTTGATAAGACATGGTATGTTTTGAACACTGAATTTCTAAGTGATAACAAACATCAAATCTCATAATATAATATAAAAACAGAGTATATCATTATGTTTAGCATAAAATAAACAGGATTTTTAATTCCTAGTAAGAAACAAAAGTACTACCATATATGTATCTATAAAACAATAGGATCATAATATCTTGAACTGGCAACTGAATTTAACACAAATGGAATTTACTAGGCTAGAATTGCACAAGGCCTGTATTGTATAGAAAATCATAATTATAATTACTTAAGAGACAAAACAATTTTTTTTTTTACAAAAGTCTCTTACACTAGATGTAGTTTGTGAATTTATCTTTATTTGTACAATTTACAACAACGACTTTGTATAACAAACTTGTTCTGGTTTGAATTAAGAATTTATATCCCAACTGCATGTTGTTCATACTTGAGGGGCTACCCTATTTTGTACTTAAGAGGGTACCCTATTGTATACTTAAGTCACTACCCTACTGTTCTCCAATTATTTAAGCCACATAAAGGAATTTTCTAGCTACATTTGAGAAATGGAATAAGTCACATGAGATGTAACTATTACCAATTGTTTCCATAGCACCTGTACAACATGTGTATATATCATAATAAATGTTGTCCATTCATAATTAAATGGATTTCCATATCAAAAATACTGAAATCAAGCAGTCAAAAGTGCATAGACATTTGTATATGCAGTTGTTATCCAGAGATAAAAAAAAAATAAGAATTGAAAATGAATTATGCCAGAAACCCGTCTGTTTATAAATTTATACAATTGTTGAACACAAATAGTAAATATAAAGTAATTCAGTAATCAAAACTTGTTAAAAAAAAAACCTTGCTTTATGAAACACAATGTTAAATGTTAAGCATTAAACCTCGTAATTTATAAGGTAAAATGTAAATAATGTAATGCAAAATAATCTTACAGCACACAAAATGATATTTCATTGGATCAAACATTTTTGGATTGACTTTCCATGAAAATAACGAAAAATAGTGCCACACATATAATAATGATTTTACAGTAGACAAAATATGTTTCACAATCTCTTGAAAAAAAATACAACCTAATGTTAGTTAAGCTACACCCATAAAATAATTATAAAAATGAACTTGAATGCATCATATTTTTTCTTTAATCAATAATTGAACACTACATAATCTGCACTTAAAAATATTAACAAAATTAACACTTTTTTAAGGGGGTGGATAACTTTAGGATAAGCATATGATTTCCAAGTAAATTGCCAATTAAAAATCTATCATCATTTTCATAGCATGGATTTAAAATTTTAACTTGTTTGGTATTGTGACAATGCAATTTTTGCAGGATAACATTTAATTTAAACATTTGCTATTAAAAATGTGTGGGATTTGCTTTATACTGCATAGATAGTGTCCCTACTTTTTTACATTGTTTAATAAAATATGGCACAACAAAGTTATATAAATATACCACAAAATTGACAATCCTTTTTGTACTCAGCTAGAAAACATGTACATGAAGATGATACTCTGTTACCTACAATGGATGCAGTTCATTTTTGGTAATATCAATTTCTTTCAATTGAAAAATATTTACATGCATAAAACATGTAAAAAGTTACTTATACTATGCCACAGATTCTTTGACACTTTCCTTATCATTAGGTTCCAATGAATCCTTTTCAGTAGTTTTATCCATTGCTGTAGTTTGCCTTTGCCCGGGAGTTTGGGGCTTCTTTTCCCCTTTTTTATAGTTGGTTTTTTTGTGGTTTGGGCTTTGGCTTTTGGGGTTTTTTGGGGAGAAATTTTTGGCTTTTCTTTTGTGTCAAAGGTTTAAAACCCGATTTTTCCCGGCAAGTTCCCCGGATGTCCCAAGAAAAAAAAATTTTTTTTGGGAATGTAACCCAAAATTTTAAAGTGATAGGAAATGTTTGAGCCTAAAAAAATTTTTTTTGCATTTCTTTTAAAAGAAACCCAAAAAGATTAATGTATAGAAAATTTTTGTATCTTCCCTTAAAAAAAATAATAAAAAAATAAAACAAAATATTCTTTCTTTTGGGGTTTTTTAAAAAAAGTTCAAAATAATGGGGCTTGCCCTTTTTCCTAATCCCCCCCGAGTGTATAACCCTACCCAGGGGAAAACAAATTTTCCTTTATGGGTTAAATGTACACGATGCCCCCTTTAAAGGGTAGGGATGTACATGATTCATCTTTAGAAGGTAAGAACGTACTTGATGCATCCTTTTAGGGTATGAACATATATAATGCACCCTCTGAGGTTATGAACATACCTGACACATCCTTTGAGGGTATGGATGTACATGATGTTACCTATGTCGGTATGGATGTACATGATGCACCCTTTAAGGGTATTGATATACCAAATGCACTATTCAAAGGTTTCAACGTACCTGAGGCTCCCTGTGAGGGTATGGATGAACCTGATGCACCCTGTAAGGGTATGGATATAGGTGAGGTCGGAGAAGTTGGGGACGTAGTTTCAGAATCAGAATCACAATCCTCTGATCCTTTCAACATCAATTCATCTGTGTAGTGATAATCTGAAATAATAGTAATAAGTTTTAAATCACAGAACACTAAATATAACCTCATTTTATTAAATATACAGGATTAAGCCTTTTCATGATCCATCAGAGAAAATTTGTAAATACAGCAACAAAAGAGGTCTCATTGAGAAATAAATTTCATATGAGGGTCAATTTACCTTTTAATAAATAAAAAATATATAAATATAAATATAACTTTTAATAAAATTCAGTTGTGTTCTATCAATATACATGTTCTTTGGTTCTCGAACATTCTTTTTACCCCTCTGAACTATAGACTGAAAAGGAAATAAACGTCTGTTTTTTGTGTAATTCCTTGATATTATAATGTTGTTTGGCTTGGCTCCTTATCAAGTCAAACATCGAGCATCTGTTTTTTCTATGTTTTCCATGTTATTCTATTGTAAACTGAAATAAATCTATTCATTTCTCTTAAAGAATATCTATTGTAACTATATATAGAACAGCAGTTTGAATGACTCCAAATAAGGCTTGTTCATAAGTAAACGATGTATCATGAAAAATTGAAAGATACTGGTTATTGAATAGACAAGGACTTTATACTTAATACCACTGTGACTTTGACCTTTGACCTAATCAAATAAAAATCAGTGGGGGTCATCTTCTGGCTATGATAATCCTTCCTCATATGTAAAAAGACAGCATAACTAATTATTATAAAGTTACTGAGTTATTGATATGGCAAACTGACAGACATACAAGTGCAATAACACAATACAACAGAAGTTACCCCCTGGCATATTTAAATAGAGTAAAAACAACTTGTACCTTGGACATTGTTTGATATAGGAAGTTTCAAAATAGCAAAGTTCTACTGTATCCAAGAAAAAATATCTAAATCTATCATCTATTATAGTAAATGAATGAGTTTTTATTTACATTTTTCTTTATCTTAAATATCATTTTCATGACTTATCACATTGTTTTAAACCAGCAGTATTTACTATAGTACCTGTACAATTTTCCATATTAACATATGTTGATTGTATATCTGTTGTGTGCTGACCCTGTTTCATAGCTTGCTCTAGCATTGTAATCATGTCTTTTATCTCATGAGCTAATTGGGAAAATTCTGGACGAGATTTCGGACTCGGATGCCAGCATTTCCTCATTACTGCGTACCTGAAAGAAAAGTTAAAATTACTTTTCGATGAAAAATCAGGTGTAGGCAATATAAACCTATATACCATATTACACAGGCGAAAACTAGGTGCTATTTCTCAGTGATCACAATATTTTACAAAGGCAATGAAATACTGCTTCACAATCTGCAACACAATTTCAAATACTGCAATTTCAATTCTGAAAATTGCAACAAAATTTTCAATATAGCAACACAATTTCTAATATTGCAACAAAACGATAATATCCAAACACAATTTCTAACATTGCAACACAATTTCATATATTACAACACAAGTTCTAATATTGCAACACAAGTTCCAACATTGCAATGCAAGTTCCAATATTGCAACACTATTTCCAATATGGCAACACAAGTTTTAACACAATTTTAGGTTCTGTCACACTCAAACTATTGTCACAAAATGTCATCCTTAATGGCTTACTCATTTTTTTCAAGCACAAATGGGTTTTCTGAAAATAATCATAGACCTTTAACCCTTTCACAAGCCAGCTGGTAGGACTCAAACATACAGCAGTCAGAGGTTCCTGATTTCAAGTCATGGCCTATAACATCTGGGCATGGAGGCCCCTACAAGTCTTCTCAAAATTAATAACATTAAATTTGTTTTTAAATGCTTACAGTTGATCTGGACAGTACTGTGGTTGAGGCATTCTTCGACCATGTTTCAGGTACCGCACAATGTCCCAGTTATCCACCTCGGGATATGGATTTACTCCCCTCGTCAAAAGCTCCCACAAAACAATACCAAAGGACCACTGTAACATTAAAACATCAGATAATCTTCAATATTATAAATAATAGTCAATAATGCAAGAAAAACTAGAACTATCTCTGAATGCAATTCATACCCCCACCAATGTCCTTAAGAAGACGACTTGGAAAGGTGGTTAAGGGAATAACTTTAGTGGCACAAATACATATACATAAAAAAAAATATCTCTGGTGAAAAAAAGACAAATTGTACAGGTAAAAGTATAAATATATAATGCCAATCATGTTGAAACAGTTACAAATAACCTTTCATTTTCCCAATGTACTTAAACAAACAAAAGCAGTGAAGTTAAGAAAATAGCATAATTATGTCAAAATGTAATTAAGAGTGGAAAAACTTTGCATACTGAGCTTACTTGTCACCCTTCATATATAATATAGTTTCAAGTGAATATCTGTTCTAGTTTCAGAAACATGTAAGTATTAATGGTTATTATATATCAGAACAAAGGGGCATAGCTTGTGTCATAATTCAATGAAATTGTAGACTTTTCATCATCAGAGTTTGCTTGTAACCATTCATATAAATTTTAAGTTTCAAATAAATATCTGCTCTGGTTTAAGAAATATTATAGTAAATAAATTTAAATACGTAAAAAATGGACTTAACTTTGTCAAAATACAGTACAAAGTTATCCCCCCCCACACTTTTTTAGTAACTTGACCTGCATATCTTACTTGCGACACTTCGTATATATTTGAGGTTTCAAATAATTATCTGTTCTAATTTTAGAAATATTCAAGTACATGTTAAAATTTCAGAACATTTTCTAAGTCAATTTTTGACCTTCAAGTGTGGCCTTGACCTTAAGCTGGCAAAAGGGTGAGATGGGTTCTGGACATTACCCAGTTGGGGTGAACATTTGAGTCAAGTTTGAAGAAAATCCTTCCATTAGTATAGAATTTATAGAGTGGACACAACATAATATTGTCTAATATTGATTGTATGTAAATTTAAAATTAAAAGGGGGCATAACTTTGTAATAATGCAAAACAGAGTTCTGAAACTTGACCTGCTAATCTTACTTGTGACACCTCATATCTAATTTAAGTTTCAAGCAAATAACTGTCCTAGTTTAAGAATATTCAACTACATGTTAAAATTTAAGAACATTTTCTAAGTCAACTTTTGACCTTCAAGTGTGACCTTGACCTTAAGCTGGCACAAAGGTAACATGGGTTCTGTGCATAACCTTGTTGAGGTGAACATTTGAGTAAAGTTTGAAGAAAAATCTTCAATAAGTATAGGATTTATAGAGCGGACACGACATATTGTCTATATTTGATTGTATGAAAATTTAAAGACTTAAAAAAGAGACATAACTTTGTCAAAATGCAATACAGAGTTATGAAACTTGACCTGCATATCTTAACTGTGACACTTCATATATATTTCAAGTTTCAAGCAAATACCTTTTCTAGTTTCAGAAATATATAAATACATGTTAAAATTTAAAAATATTTTCTAAGTCATTTTTTGACCTTCAAGTTTGACCTTAAGCCGGCAAAAGGGTAACATGGGTTCTGCACATAACCTTGTTGAGGTGAACAGAGTGTACAGAGCAGACACGACATACTGTCTAATATTTGATTGTTTGATATTTGACCTTCATTGTGACCTTGAGCTGACACATGGGCAACATGGGTTCTGCATATCCCCTTGTTGAGGTGAACATTTGAGCCAAGTTTAAAGAAAATCCTTCAATTGGTATAGGATTTATACAGCGGACACGATAATAATGACGGATCAACCGACCAACGCGACAAAGCAAAACCATTATGGCCACCCCCCCCCCACCCATTTTGTGGTGGGGTATAAAAAGTAAACTAAAAATATTTAAAAACAATGCCTATTCTTCTTAACAGTCAAAACGAACTGACCCAATTGAAAGATTTTAACAATATACCAGTAGTATACAAAGTATTTACTCAAATATGTTGTTTTTTTCAAACACAAATATGTACTAATTCTGCAACTCCATTTTATGATTTTTATTCAGGAAAGTCAATGCCAGAAGTCAACTTAATTGTTTGATAAAAAAAGTAACTTACAACATCAGACTTGGAGGAATATTTTCCTTTTTCTAGACACTCCAGTGCCATCCATTTGACTGGCAACATTGTTTTCTTGCTCTCAGATGCATAGTAATCTTTCTCGTAAATGTCACGAGAAAGTCCAAAGTCGGCTACCTTCACTCTAAAATCATTGTCTAACCTGAAACGCGAGTATAATACAATGTTATTTCTACTGAACACACCTGTAAACAGCATTTAAATTTACTGTAATATGTATTACCTTATAGTACTGCACATTTGTAACAACAATTTTCATTAGATGATCATGTTGTTTATATCAATCAGACTTAATAGATTATTAAGTCTCAAATAATAACTCAATTCTGAGGCTTCTGGGTTAACAAAGAAGAAAGTTCAGTTGAGAATACCGTATAAGTACTTATTTCTGCGGGAACTTTATTTCTGCTATTTCTGCGGTTTATAACGACACCGCAGATTTAAAAATCGCAGAAAATTAAGCCTTTCGCTATGTCTACATGTCTGTAGGAATATGTCAACTACCTGTATTGTATAATTACATTACCATGTACCGTTATCAGCTTTTGTAGATGGGAATAATTTTCTTTATGTACCCGTCATGAATGAAATATTAGAAAAAAAAGTTACTTTACTTAAGAAATAATATATCCCAAACTGTGATTTTATCGCTCAATAACATCACTGTTTGGAGTTCGGATGCGAGGAATTATATCACGAGGGCGTAGCCCGAGTGATATAATGATGCGCATCCGAACGACAAACAGTGATGTTATCCAGCGATAAAATCACCGATTTGGATATATTATTTCGATTCTAACACGACTTAAACAAATAAATGCTGCCGTTCCTGCTATTAAGCAAAATTACGCCTGATTTGTTTCCGTACTTATTGTCAGCGCGTCGGATTTTATAGTGGTTACGTCACATGTATAATGATTACGTCACATGTCTAAATATAGAACGTCAAACAGTGACTCTATTGCATAATAACACACACTTTCGGTTCTTCTATGTTCAATAGGGAAAAATGCGGGTCGTGTTAGAATTGTTCTTTTTGTTTAAAAAAATGTCATGTTTGTATGAGTTTCGCTCGCCCTAAGCTTGATTTATTTTAAAAATAAAACTATTATAGTTTGACGGGTGCAATAAACATACCCTTTTGTATTTGTACAATATATTGTGTCTACGTGTGATATTACCATTGTTTATTTTTCACACTTTTGACATATTTATACACATGCAGTATTACAATTAACTGTTGTCATTGCACGTTGTTGATTTTTGTTTATTAACGTTTTGTTTATTGCGTTCATTGAGCGCCGCCTTACCTTGTTGATCTCGTTTATCATATTTTATATACCGATACATGGTGATCACGATGAACACACATTATAAGTCGTCTGCATGTTTACCGGAAGTAATGCACATGTTACATCAACATATCTTGAAATGTTGTCTGTTTGTATCGGCTAATTTTGTAAAAATATCTAAGTTGAAACGCAAAGATAAAAAACATCAATGCGAGAATGATGACACCGCAGAAATAAAATACGCAGAAATTTGAAACCCCTTATTTTAACCAAAATCGCAGAATTTTAAGCCCGCAGAAATAAGTACTTATACGGTATTCAGTTTTAGAAACAACATAAAAATAACAACACTTACATGCAGTTTCTACAAGCTAAGTCTCTATGTACAAATTTTAGTTCAGAAAGATAGGCCATTCCCTCAGCAATATCTATACCAAATGTGATCAGATCCTTTATAGTAGGTGCCTGAAAAATTGCACATCAAACATGTACATATATATACAGTATAACCTCTGCAAATGGCCCATTGTAGACTGATAACCTCTTTATAATAATGGACTCAAATCTTCCTAGACTTAAAATTGACACTGAATTTAATCTCTATTTAACAACATCTGTCATCAACAACCAAAATCTTTGTCTAATAAACGGTGTTGCCTTCCATATTTTTTGTTTTCTTGTTTGGTTTTATGTTGCACAAACAGAATTCAGGCCATATGGCATCGAAACAGGAAAGATAATTCCGGTTAGCCTCAGGTGTTACAAACTTAAAGCAACACCAGTGGTTAAACCCACCTCACCTGCTGGAGCTAAGAGATGCATAGACTCCAGTAATTTGAACCCTTTCAGTAGCCTCTTACAATCACACAGGGTTAAATGGTGACTGCAACTATGATGTCTCAACCCATAAAGGCCACCCCCTCAGTCACATGGAGCTTGCCCTTGAGGTTGTACTATAGAAGACATAACAGCTTATACATGTATCAAAACAGATTCAATTTACAACACAAATCATGCTTGGCAAAAATAAATTATCATGCATTTTCTTCAGTACTGACAGTTCATGAGGGAAAACACAAAAGAATATGGTTAGGCACAGACAACTTGACAAAGGCCCAAGCTTAAAGATATTAAAGATACCCTTGACATAGAAATTATAGACAATGCTGTGTGAAAAACATGTTTCAATAATAAATTTGTTAAAGTAATTTTTTTATGGTTAATCAATATAACTTACATTTTCTTCATTTCTAATGTATGACAACAAGTCACCATGCTTCATATAAGGCAGTACCACAAGTGGCATATCATCCATGCCTAGACATATACCTGCAAAATATTACACACATATTAGACATTATATATACCATACTGAATACCACTAGTGACAAGTTATTACATGCATATTACATCTTTTATTTATAATATGGAAGTACCCTAAGTAGCATATCACCCATGCCTAGACATACATCTGCAAGTAATAACACGAATATTAGACATTTTATATACCATAAAAGAGTACCACAAGTATTATATTGTGACTTTTACAGCTTTACTAAGCTTAATGCCACTTAATGCATTTTTTTTTCAGGCACATAAGGACAATATGAGTAGAACTACAAACCTTGATAGCTTCAGTGAGGTAAAAATCTTATTTTTTTACACTCAAATGGGTCATCTTAATAAAAATAAATGAATTTTCTTATAACTATATGTTCATCATTTTTTTGCTTACTAGTAGAAACTGAAATTATGCAAGCAGTGCATGAACATCCAAGCTTTATGATAAAGACCTGAAGTGTCTGCTTCTGAAAGAAATTTTTCCTTAAAATGATGAATGGTCTTATCCAGGCTAAAAGATGGACATATCTATGTAAATTACTTAGCGTGGTAATTGACAAACTTACCTATGAGATTTAAAACATTCGGATGATCGAAATCTTTCATAATAATGGCCTCCTTTAGAAATGCCTGTACGTCTATCTCCCTGGGGCTATCCTCTGGTGATAAAAAGAAAACCTTTTTATAAACTTCACATTTTGAAAGGATGTTCTTCAAATCATACAATTATCAACACTCCTATCCAGCTCCAAAAGCACAAATTTAAGCCAGCTCCCTAATTATGTGTTATTTAATGCTCTCTTATTAGGCATTTCGCTTCCCAATTTTCATTTTTCCAATGTTCACCCAATCTTGTGTTAAACAGAGCTTCCCATGCATGTGCTTGTTCATGCCTCAAGATTACGTTTTTTCCTTATATTTCTAAATCAGTATTTTATCAAGCTCCCTAATCCTGTACTTTATTCAGCTTTTTAATCCTGTACTTTACCAAGCTTCTCAACCCTGAACATAACCAAGCTACCTGATCCTGTACTTTGCCAAGCTACCTAATCCTGTACTTTAACAAGTTCCTTAATCCTGTACTTAATTATGTTTCCTTAACCTGTATTTTACAAAGCTCCATAACCTTGTTCTCTAATATGTTTCCTTAACCTGTTCTTAACCAAACTCTCTAATCTTGTATACCAAGCTTAGTCCACCTAACCAGCATTTCTGGATAACTAACCATTTATTA